CAGTTGCTTTAGCTACTCTCTTTTCAAGGGCAAATTTCAGAGTCTCTCCTGAAATCCCTTTTGGTCTTTTCTTCCTTTCTTGTCTTTTTAATGACTTCTTGCTGATGTTCTTGGTGTCTTCCCACAGTTCTCTGGTTTTTGGTCATTGGTGTTTGCTGCATCAAATCTGTTCTTTAGATGGTCTCTAAATTCAGGTGGGATGTAATCAAGGTCATATTTTGGCTCTCATGAACTTGTTCTAATTGTCTTCAGTTTCAACTTGAACTTGCATATGAGCAGTTGATGGTCTGTTCCACAGTCAGCTCCTGCCTTTGTTTTGGCTGAAGATAATGAGCTTCTCCACCGCTTCCTGCCACAGAAGTAGTCGATCTGATTTTTCTGTACTCCATCTGGCGAAGTCCGTGTGTATAGCATTCTTTTGTGTTGCTGAAAAAAGGTATTTGTAATGAATAAGTTCTTGGTCTTGCAAAATTCTACCATGCGATCTTCAGCGTTATTTTTGTCACCAAGGCCATATTTTCCAACTACTGGTGATTCTTGTTTCCAACTTTTACATTCCAATCAACAGTGATAATCAACCCACGATTGCATGTTTGGTCAATTTCAGACTGCAGAAGTAAAGGTCTTCAATTTCCTGGTTTTCGGAAGGCACTCGAAATACAACTAGGGAAGAGCTACCTCCTCAGAGTAGAGCTGACCTTGATGATGTTGATGGAGTAAAGCTTTTGGGACCTCCATGTGCTAATGTGGCATGACTCAAAATGGGAAGAAACAGCTGCAAACATCATTCATAATTGGAACATGGAATGTACGAAGTATGAATGTAAGAAAATTGGAAGTTGTGAAAAATGAAATGGAATGCATAAAGATTGATATCCTAGACGTTAGTGAGCTGAAATGGACTGGTTTTGGCCATTTTGAATCAGATAACCGTATGATCTACTGTGCCGGGAATGACAAATTGAAGAGGAGTGGCATGGCATTCATCTTCACAAAGAATGTTTCAAGATCTGTGCTAAAGTACAGTGCTGTCAGTGATAGGATAATACCCATACCTTCTCAGGTTTAGATGTTAGGAGCTCTGGTGGAATAGTGCCTGACGCATTTGACTGCAACCAGAAGGCTAGCAGTTCAAACCCCACCAGCCACTCCTCGGAGGGAAGACTGGGCAATCTACTTCCATAGAGATATTGCCTTGGAAACCCAAGGAGGGGTCACTATGAGTCGAGTCAACTTGATGTCAGTGAGTTAGTGAGTTAATTTTGGTAGAAGGAGCCCAGGTAGCTCCTTAGCACAATGGCTAAGCACTTGGCTGCTAACCAAAAGATTGGTGGTTCAAACCCACCCAGTTACTCTGCGGGAGAAAGACTTGGCAGTCGGCTTTGGTGAAGATCGTGTGTGTGAGCTGTGTGCCGTGTAGTTGACCCCAACTCACGGCGACCCTATATGATAGACTAGGACCACCCTGTGGGAGGAGATCACTGGGTCTTTTCTCCCGTGGAGCCGCCTGGTGGGTTCAAACCACCAGCCTTCTGGTTTGCAGCTGAGCACTTAACTGTGGCGCCACTAGGGCTCCTTCCGTAAGGGTTATAGCCTAGGAAACCCTGTGGGCAATTCTGCTCTGTCTCCTGGAGTTGAAACCAACACGCTTTGTAGATTGTTTCTCTGCCACCGGTCACCCCTCATCAGCTCCTGCCAGGCTTTCTCTCTTCCAGTCTTCCCATCAGATGGCTTCTCGGTGACCTTTTACATTTGTGAAAAACTTGAGATGTAATTCACACAGCCATTCGGTGTATAGTTGGAGTTTTAACAAATGGATGTTCCCCTGGAACCCAAGCCCCATTGAAATACAGAACTGTCTGTCATGGGAAAGGTCCCTTGAAATCTCCCAGGAAGTCCTCTCCTTCCCTTCACCCCAGCAAGGCTGCTGCTGTTCTGATCTCTGTCTCCATCAGTGAGCTTTAAGGAGACCTGGTGGCACCATAAAGATGACAGCTAGGGAAACCCTGTGCGTGAGCGCCACTCCGCCACATGGGGTCGCCGTGACTCGGCACCGGCGCAGCAACAGCCAGCAGCAGCAGCTTAGTTCTGCTGGTTCGGCACTTGGCACGAACGCGTATGCATGTGTGCTGTTTCCGCAAGACGTGACGCTTCTGCGGTTCGTCTCTGTGGTCTGTGTACCGCTCTTGTTTTGCGGGTGAATCCACTGAGACTTGTTTTATCTGGTCTTCTGTGGACAGACATTTGGGCTATTTCCAATTTAGGACTCTTAGAAATGAGGTTACCATAAACGTTTTGTTTTGTTTTCAATAATGTTTTGTGTTTTCAGTGAAGGTTTACATAGCAGGTTACATTCCCATTTGACAATTTCCACGCACGTTGAGTGATGTTAGATTTTCACAGCATGTTAACGTTCTCTTTCATTACATCTAGTTGTTCCGTTTCCAGTACTCTAGCTTCCCTGCCCCCTTGCGTCCTTCCCTTTGCTCTAGAGTTACGGTTGCTCTCTTGGTCTCTCGTAGAGCACATAGTCATGGGTAGTACCTTGTGTTTTGTGTGTCAGTGGGTTATTTTGCTAAAAGGTGACCTCAGGATCATTTTGGTTCAAGGCTTAAAGGGTATCTTGGGGCTGTGATCTCGGGGAGTATTCTCATCTCAGGTCCAGCAGGTCCGGGCTTGTAAGGGTCTGCGTCCTGGTCTGCATTTTTCACTCCTCTGTCAGGGTCCACTGTGGGTTCCCTTCTTTCTGTTTTGCTCCTGACGAGCAGAGAACAGTAGCCGTTTCTTAGATGGCTGCTTGCAGGCTTATGAGACCCCAGATGCTGCTTCCCTCACGGGGCGACCCTGTATGACGAAATAGGACCACTTTTGTGGGAGGAGACCGCCAGTTCTTCTCTCCCATGGAGCTACTAGTGGGTTCAAACTGCCAGCCTCTGGGTTCACAGAACAGAAAACCAACTGGGTTATGCCAGTTGACTGAGTTGTACTATAAACGTTCTTGTTTAAGATTTTTTTGTGGACATGCTTCCATTTATTTTGGGGTAGATATCTAGAAGAGGCACAGCTGGGTCATAGGATAGATGTATATGTTGAATTTTATAACAAATTGCCCAGCAGTTTTCCAAAGTGGTTGTATCATTTTACACCCCTACTCGCAGTATCTGAGCGTTCCAGTTGCTCCATGTCCTTGCCAATACTTGGAATTGTCCCTCTTATTAATTTTAGCCATCCTGTGGGATATAGAGGTTTGAACCCCATCTTGCATTCCTGCAGTACATCCACTAGGTCATAGTGTATTATCCTTTCTATATATTTCTGGATTTGATTTACTGGTATTTTGTTAAGGAGTTTTACATCTGTGTTCATAAAAACAAAAACAAAACCCATCGCTGTCAAGGCACTTCTTACTCATAGTGACAATACAGGACAGAATAGAACTGCCCCATAGGGTTTCTGTAAATCTTTACAGGAGCAGACTGCCACATGTTTCTCCCTCGAAGCAGCTGGTGGGTCTGAACTGCTCACCTTTCTGTTAGCAGCTGAGTGCTCAACCATGAGGGACGTTTGTCCATGACTTTCTCTTTCTCACGTCACATTTTGGCAACAGTTACGAGGGCCTCATAAAATGAGTAGGGAAGTATTCTTTCCTTCTTTGGTTTCTGAAAGATTTTATGTAAAACGTTTATGGTTTTGTCCTTAAATATTTTATAGAATTCACCAATTCTGAATTTTCCTTTGTGGGAAAGTTTTTAAACTGTGAGCTTGATTTCCTTAGCAGACAGAGAGCGCGTCAGATTTTGTTTCTTTGGGTGTCAGTTTTGGTGGTTTGCTTCTCTGGTAGGTTTGTTGATTTCATCTAAGTTGCCAGTTTTTGGAAATAAAATTCATCATTCCATTCCCCTGTCGGAACTAAAAGACTGAGATCTTTTAAAAGACTGTAGCGTTGTCGTCTTTTCATTTCTGAGACTGGTAATTTGCGTTTTCCCGATTGTTTGTATTGTTCAATCTAGCTGTGTGTTGCTCAAAGAACAAAGTTCCTTTGTTGAGTTTCTGCATTGTTTATTTTCTGTTTAATTTTTATGGAAAACCTCTCATTTGGATGGAAGGACAGAAAAACCTTCCTTTCCTCTGATGGGTTTGGCTTTGATCAGCTCTTCTTTCCCTAGCTGCTTATGGGAGAAGCCTAGTCATTCGTCTTAACCCTTCTTGCCTTTTTGCTGTAAGTATCTAAAACTATAGCTTTCCCTCTGAGCACTGCTTTAGCCATACCCCACAAAGTATGGTATATTGCATTTCTCGTGGTTTGTTGCATTCGAGTCATAGCATTTTCTAGTTGACGTCTGATTCTCAGTGCAACTGTAATTTACATTTCTCTGCCATTGAGGAGCCCCTTGGCCACAGCCCCGTCCCAGACTTGCCACGGGCCTTCCGCACTGAGACGGTGCTCCGAGTCGGTGGTGGAGGCTCCGTGCCTCCTCGGCACTGCTCCCCGCCCCCTGGCACCCTCCCTGCTCTTGTGATTTTCCATCTGGACTTTGGAGTTCTCTCCCGGTCTACTTCCTGATTTACCCTGCTGGCCCGTGAGTGCCCCGAGGCCAGCATCCCTGGCCTGCCTGTTGCTCGTCCTCCCCCTCATGCAGCAGGTGTCCTCACATCCCCGTTGACCCAGTCTGTCCAGGGCCTTGTTACACAGGCCCCAGAACCGTCACAGAGGGCTGAGCTGTCATCTGTGTCGTGCCCGCTTGGAGAGAACAGGCCTGGAGCCAAGGTCAAGTGGCCAGCTCAAGGTTGTGTGGAGCCAGGGCAGAGTGGGCCACACTGGGCCCTTCCCGCCACTGTGGTACTGAGCCTGTGCCCAGCAGCTTTTGGTCTTCCCAAATAGAACGAGAACTCTCGAGTGCTGACCAGGCTCTGCGGGTGGCTTCAAACGGGGTTGTGGGAGGAGGAGGAGGAGAGTACGTGCCCCTGGAGTCGGGCCCTGACCCCACGTCCCACCTCAGTCCCACAGAACAGCGAGAAGCTTCAGGAGAGCCCATGCATCTTTGCGTTGACGCCAAGGCAGGTGGAGCTGATCCGGAACTCCAGGTACTGGAGCCGTGCATCCTGGCCCTACTCGCCCGCTGGCCAAGGGCCTGGGTGGCTGGGTGGGGCTCAGCTGTCAATTACTGGGCTTGGGGAAGCGGGTTAGGGGGGCCACCAGTGACCAGTGCCTACCTGCTACCAGTCCCACACTGTCCAGAGCAGCGGTGGGGAGGGGGACGCGGTCTTCTAGAAAACCGCGTCTTTGTTGGGTATGTCTCCCTGCATGTGCTGCGCAGTGGGCGCCAAGGGAGGGATGGCTGTTCCCTGAGCAGTTCCCCTACCCTGCCCTGTTGACACGGGGCCAGATCCTTCTCTGGGGTGGGGCCGTCCCGTGCCCTGTAGGGTGTTGAGTAGCATCTCTGGCCTCCACCCGCTTACTGCCAGTAGCATCCTCCCAGTTGTGGCAACCACGATGTCCCAGACATCACCCAGTGTCCCCTGGGGACAGAATCACCCCCCCCCCCCAGTTGAGAGCCCCTGGGTTGGGGGATTCCCCTGACCCTTAATAGTCCCGTAGTGGTCTGACCTACTGATGTGCTAGGATGCTGCCCACATTTAAATGCACACACTGCGTGGGGAGGACAGAGGAGGGGACTCATTTGGGTGCAGCCTTGCCCACCCTTGGGGGGGAGGGTCCTCTTAGCTGCTGGGTGCCTCCCTCCCTCCTGACTCCTCCCCTCCTCCACAGAGAGCTCCAGCCCGGAATCAAAGCAGTGCAGGTCGTTCTGAGGTGAGTGAGGGTGAGCCTCCGGCTGCCTCTGCCCACCTTCCTACAGATGGTCCCATGTTGTCTTCATCTCCTGCCCTGGGTGGCCTATGACCAGTGAGGCTTGTCCCGTTCTCTGGACTTTGCTGGTACAACCCAGGCAAAGACCCTTGGTTGCCTCCTGCCTTCCTGCCCTGAATGTACCACTGTCTACCCAGCCTCAGGCCAGAAGGTCCCAAGTGTCCCCTTGGGACCCCCAGCTCTTCCAGCAGCAAGATAGCTATGACCCAGCCCCAGCTCACGCTCTCCACGGCCCCCCAGCTGCCCTCCCCGCTGTGGCCCAGCATGCCCCCTCCGCCCATGCCCTCAAGGCCCCGTGGACGCACTGTCCTAACAGGATCTGCTACTCGGACACAAGCTGCCCTCAGGAGGACCAGTACCCGCCCAACATAGCTGTCAAGGTCAACCACAGCTACTGCTCTGTCCCGGTGAGTCTGCTGGGCCGGGAGGTGCTGGGGTCGGCACCTTGCAAGTCTTCAGGGGGCTCTGGCTGGGGGGGGGGTGCAGCTCTGAGATCCACTGGGGAGCGCCCTCCATTCTGTGGGGTGAGCCGGTGTGTCTGACCCCAGGGCTACTACCCCTCCAACAAGCCGGGCGTGGAGCCCAAGAGGCCATGCCGGCCCATCAACCTCACCCACCTCATGTACCTGTCGTCCGCCACAAACCGCATCACAGTCACCTGGGGCAACTATGGCAAGGTGAGTACACCCTAGCCCTGCCCGCCCTGCGCCCCCCACCCCGCGCCCCTGCTGCTCCTGACTCTGCCCTCCGCCCCCAGAGCTACTCTGTGGCGTTGTACCTGGTGCGGCAGCTGACCTCCTCGGAGCTGCTGCAGCGGTTGAAAACCATCGGGGTGAAGCACCCGGAGCTGTGCAAGGCGCTAGGTAAGCGCGCAGCTCTGTACGTCCCTCCATGGGGTGTGGGGCGTGGGTGGGAGCTCATGGCTGGGGGGCTGCTATTGTCAATGTGCCCAGGGCGGTCCCTGTTGGGGGTGTTCAGACACCTGCTTGCCCTGGTGGTTGGGGAGGTCTCTGGGGAAGGGAGGAGGAAGGGTGGCAAGTACAGGGTCCTGAGGCAGGGGCGGCAGTTTGAGGGCATAGGCCTGAGGGGCCAGAGGAATGGGGGGGGCGAGGGGTCTCACTGCCAGTGCTGTGGGGTGGGCTCTTGTTCTGAGAGCCTGAGCAGCCCCAGGGAGGCCCAGCCCCTGCTGGCTGGTTGGCTGGGCGCTACAGCAATGGGTGGTCCTCTGGGGCCTCAGTGTGCTCGTCTGAACAGGGTGGTAGCCGGACCTGCTTTGCTTTGCCTACAAGGAAAGACACACACAATGGCGTGCTGTCATTGGGGCGGACCCTTGGGACACAACTCCAGGCAGGCACTTGTAGCCAAAGGCTTTGGGCTCTAGGGACCCCTGGGCCACCTCACTGCTGGTCTCTATTGCCTTGGGCAGGTGGCCTCCCCCTGTGAGCCTTTGAAATCAAGCCCTACCCTTGGTGGGTGTGAACTTGAAGGAGGGGCTGGTGTGAAGGGGCAGCCCCGGTGGGAGTCAGTGGCCACCTGCGCCTGACTGCCCAGCCCTGGCTGTGACCCAGAGTGTCCCCCCATCACCCCTGGCTGAGCTAGGGGTACCCACTCAGGAGTCCCACAGGGCGACCTCTGACTGCCCATCTAAGCCTGGCTGGCCCTGGAGGTGGGGGTGTGGGGACCCAGGGCCTCAGCCTGACCACACGCCCCGGCCCCTCCCTCTCCCTCCCTTCTTTAGCCCCCACCTGCCCATCTCCCGAGATCAGTCGCAATCTTGACCAGCTGTGGAGGGGTGGTTCCCTGTGCACCCGCAGGGCTGGCTGGCCTGGTGGTGGCTCGTGTAGCTCTGGTCAGGCAGGGCCATCCTGGGGCCTGGGAGGCCCACAACCAGGCCAGGGGGCTGTTCGCTCAGGGACCTGACTTAACTCCTCAGCCAAGAGCCCTGCTTTGCCAGCACCTTCTAGCACCTTCCCTGACTGTAGGGTCAGTGGTCCTCTCTGAATAGGCCCCTTGGGCTTTTTCCATGTGCCTCTGTCTTTCCAGTTGCAATGAGAAGTCCTGTTCTTTGTCTCTCTTGTACCCTTCCTGCTGCGTGTGGCTCTCTGTTAGAGGAGAGGGCAGAGTAGGGGCCCATTGAAACCCAGGCCTGTGGGTCCATTGTTAGCCAGAGAGCAGGAGTGCCTGGGGGACCTTGGCCTAGAGCAGGCTGCCCCTTGGGGGGAGGTACAGGAAGAGGAGGCAGAAGTGCTGAGGAACAGAGAGGGGTGGGATGAAGGGTGAGGGTGTGGGCAGTGGCATGGGGGGCATGTGTTTGGGGAGCAGCAGCCAGGAGCGGGGCTGTGGTGGCTGGGGTTGGGGAGTGATGCCTGTTTTCCTACTCAAGGCATTTCACCCATGTTCCTCATTGCCCTGAGTGCAAGGGCTCAACACATGCATCTCATCATCCCCCAAGCACCATTGCTGTGGGAGGTGGGCGTCAGGGCACCTTACGGACTGTTGCCCACCTATGAACAGGGGCATAGGCAGCACCTGCCGTGCCAGACACTGTGGGGGATGGGGGCAGGCAGGGCACCCCTGTGGACATCTCAACCTGGTCGTGGTCCCTCTGTCCCCCACCTCTAACGGCGCCCACCCCTTCTCCTCAGTCAAAGAGAAGCTGCGCCTGGACCCCGACAGCGAGATCGCCACCACTGGCGTGCGGGTCTCCCTCATCTGCCCGGTGAGTGGTACCCGCCTCCACACTGTCTACACTGCCCTCCTTGCCCAGCCCGGCAGCTCCCACACACGGGGGTCGCCCTCAGCTGTCTGCAGGGCCACTGAGCGCAAGGCCGGTTGTGCTTGGGTCTGCGCAGCTCCCTGATAGTCCACAGAGGCCCAGGGCTGGGGCACTAGAGAGCAGCAGCCTGTCACACTGTCCCCATCCTCCTCCCGTAGCTGGTGAAAATGCGGCTGTCGGTGCCCTGCCGGGCGGAGACCTGCGCCCACCTGCAGTGCTTCGACGCCGTCTTCTACCTCCAGATGAACGAGAAGAAGCCCACCTGGATGTGCCCCGTGTGTGATAAGCCGGCCCCCTATGACCAGCTCATCATAGACGGGTGAGTCGCACTGTGCCTGCCCCCCGCTTCTGAGTCCTTCTGTAGAAGGAGGGATGGAGTGGGCAACCCCTGGGTCCCCGTTGCCTCTGACTTCCTAGACATGCCAGATGGTTCCACAGTACAGCCTTGGTACTGTGTCACAGATAGGCATGGGCATGTTGTCACAGATAGGCACGGGGCCACAGAGCTTGGGAAGCCCTGGGTTACTGAAGACACAATTTCTTTGCATGGGACTTAGTCTTCAGTGAGCTGGAGGCAGCCGTGTGGCTTTGGGTCCAGAGGTGAGCCCGGACTCGGGGTTCTGTTGTTGTCCCCTGTGACCTCGGTCTGAGAGTTACCTCTCAGTGCAGAGCCTGCCTGCAGAAAACAGGGACCACAAACACCCCGGCCTCATGGGGTCGCTGCGCACAGTCAGGAGCCACCTTCCAAGTGGCGTGCACTCAGAGAGCCTCCACCTTTACCGTCCCTCCAGGAGGAAAGTACAGAAGTCGTCTTCTCTCTCCCCAAAGCTCTAGCCCTGTTGGATCATCCCCTCTTGTGGTGGCGCGGCGTGCCCCTGGCCGTCCCCAGACCAGCTGTCAGGGTGCAAGGGGAGGAAGCCTCACCCCCAGAGGAGACTCTCCTTAGGTTTAGGTTTCTAGAAACCGGACTCCGGCTTCCGCAGCACTTGACTTGGCTCCTGCTCGGCCTGCACACCCGCCTCCCATTCTTGAGCTGCTTGGTGGGAGCTTGGCCGTTGGTGGCTTCCCTGGGCAGCAGCAGGCAGTCCTGATGGTCATATGGCACCACCGGCCCCATCCTCGGCCCTCATTGGCCTCTAGAGGCGGGCACAGGGTGTGCATGGCCGAGTGGAGGGCTCCTTCGACTTGCGGGGCCAGACTCAGTTGTGATGACATCAGTCTGTCCTGACGTCTGAGCCCTTGTCAGTGCCCAGCCTGTGGCGTGTGGGGTGTCGCCAAGCCCACCCTCACAGCCATTCCAGGAGGTGATTGTCCCATCTCACATATGAGACTGAGGCTGGGGGGCAGGGGCTCCTAACTCCAGGGACCTGAACCCAGGGCTGGTCAGTCTTAAGCCTGTGTCCTCTCCCCAAAAGGGCCAAGCCCTGCGCTACCCAGACTCAGGTGGTGTGAGAAGGCCCGGGGCCGGGCACTTGGGATGAGCCTGAATGGCTGCTCTGTTCCCGGCCTGGCAGCTGCGTGGCCCATACCCGCCCCCCCACATAGGCCTGCAACGGTCGCTCAACTCAGGGTGGCAGCTGCCTTGAAACTTGAGGGGTCTGTGCCCTCCATGGGTAGGCAGCTAAGGAGGCTTCTTGGAGGAGGCATCCTGGGTTCCCATGTATGTCCTTTGAATCCCCTAAAGAATTCTTCCTCACATCCTAGGGGCACTGGGGACAGAGAGCCGGAGACAAGTGTTGCTATTTTTCTGGGTTCTGGCGGGGAGCAGGCAGAAGAGTGGGCGAAAGGGGGTGGGGTTAGGAGTGTCCCAGGTGGGGGAGGCGTATTGCAGTCGGAGGTGACCCTGAGGGGCTGGGTGGTCCTGGGGTAGGGTCTGAGCAGGGTGGGGCTGGGGCTGCCAGTTGGTGGACCTTGGCCCCATAACGGGGCACTGACATCAGGCTCCTGTTGTGGGAACAGTGACTGAGGTGGGGGAAGGCCCTGGAGGCAGGGGCAGCTGTGACACAACGTGTCAGAAGCTGGGCGAACTTGGTACCCGTGTGGCCTGGACACTGGGCCTCTGAGTCTGGGGACCTCCCAGCCTTGTGGGACTATGGGCACTGTGCTGTCCATCATGCAGGTGGGGAAGGTGGGGAGCCCAAGGCCCCAGGCAAGGAAGCAGTTGGGGGTGGGGGTGGGGCCGGAGCCCCAGGTGGTGGACGAGGTTCTCGCCCCACAGTCTCTGCCTCTGCTGCCGCCTGGCCTTGTGGTCAGGCCGCTCTCCTCTTCCACGGGCCTCGACGTCCCTGTCTGTTAATGACGCTAACAGCGCCTGTGCATGTGTGTAGTATGGAGCTGTGCCCTGGGACCGAGGCCCTGGGAGTGAGGCAGCTCCGCTCTGGTCCCCACTCTCCCCGCTCTCCCCCAGCTCCTCATCTGCTGGTGGGCGTGGGCGGGACTCACAGGATCCAAGGACCACCTGGCCACACGCTGCTCTGAGTCACATCTTTCTTAGATGCCTGAGGGGAGGAGGCGGGCATGGAGGACGCCCAGCCTGGCGCTGTGGCTGCTCCATGGGGCAGATGGGCAGGGCGTGCCTGGGTGCTGCCCAGGAGTGCCCTGGCCAGGCTCAGTGGAGCCCCTGGCGGGCAGCCGTCAGGTGCCCTGTGGTCCCGTGTATTCGCACAGGGCAGGTGGGGAACGGCAGAGGCAGAGACTAGCAACTGGCCCACCCACGGCTCCTGAAGCTGCTGTGCAAAGCAGTAGTCATGAGCCCTGGGGGTTCAGTGTGGAGGGGGGGACCCACCCTGAGCAGCCCCCACCCTGCCCTGCCCCCAGCCTCCTCTCCAAGATCCTGAGTGAGTGCGAGGATGCCGACGAGATTGAGTTTCTGGCCGACGGTTCGTGGTGCCCCATCCGCGCCGAAAAGGAGCGCAGCTGCAGCCCCCAGTGCCCCATCCTGGTCCTTGGTGAGTGCAGGGCCGCTGCCCGGGAGCCCTCATGCCCACATCCCAGGAGCCTCCAGCCTGCAGGCTCCCTGTGTCAGACACACTGAACTTATCCACAGTTGGCATTCCTGTGTAAAGTACCAGGTGGAGGAGAGGGTTCCCTGTCCACAGTCTTCTCCCCATGTACAGGGTTCCCCTCCCCAAATTCAGTGAGGGGTGACCATAGAAGGGGTGACCATAGAAGTGGTTGGTGACTGGGACAGGTTGGGGACCCAGGGCCTGGACCAGGGCATTTTCTTGGCTTGTTCCTTTATTGAGCACCTCTGTGTACTGCCCTGCGCAGGGTGCTGGGGACCCACTGTCTGGCCTGATGCAGCCTGCCCTCCTGGGGCCTACACGTGGTGAGGCCGACAAGGTGTTCTGAGTATTCCATCCTAGCTCCCCAGGCCCTGGCCGGCCGCCTCTCTCTGCTCTGGGTCAGCTGCCGACCTGAGCACTGCCTTGTCCCTGTCCTCTGCAGGCACATCTGATGCCAACGGACTCCTTTCTGCCCCAAACGTCAACGGAGGTGGTGGTGTTAGCAGTGCAGCCGGTGGCACCAGCGGTGGGGGCGGCACGGCCAGCGGCGTCGAGAACGGAAAACCTGGTGCCGACGTGGTGGACCTCACGCTGGACAGCTCATCGTCCTCAGAGGACGAGGAGGAGGAAGAGGAAGATGAGGAGGACGAGGACGAGGAGGGCCCTCGGCCCAAGCGCCGCTGCCCCTTCCCAAAGGGGCTGGTGTCGGCCTGCTGACCGCCGCTGCGGACACTCGACTTTCCTGGTGCTGACCATGCAGAGGATGCAGGCAGGCCTCAGCCAGAGGTCTTGGTTTCTTTCCACTGTCCTTCTTTTTGTTTTCCTGTCCTGACCCCGGCTGCTGGCGCCTGTCTGTATCTCTGGACTCCAGCGTAGGATTGAAAAGTAAAATGGGGGGGGGAGTACAAAAGAAAGAAAAATGAAACAAACACAAAATCAGACTCTTACAAATGAGGCGAACTGCCCTGCAACTGATTCCCAGGTGGGACCTGGCCCGGAGCCGCTGCCTGAAGACCTGCGTGCGCCGGACCCTTCCCGATGCCCACAGGCCTGCCCCGCCGCCACCGCCGCTGCCTGCAGAGCCACCTGTCTTTTTCCGAGGACCATTCCAGCTGGTGCAGGGGGACCGGGGGTCCAGGCGGGCGGCGGGTGCCCCTCTCCAGTGACAGTTACGTTGTCTTCACTCGTGGGTTCCTTTGCTTTTTTCCTCTCTGCAAATGTCTCCCCAGCCCGGAGCCCAACACAAGCAGCCAGCCGTTTTAGCCAAGAAGCCATGGAGTGGG